TGTCTAGCGTGTGTGTGTATGTAGTAGTGTGTGTGTATGTAGGCTGGTGTGTGTTGTAGCATGTGGTGTGTTGTATAATGTGTGGTGTAGCTGTGTGTGGTGTGTAGTATGTTGGTGTACGTGTATCGTGTGTGTGTATGTAGCGCTGTGGTGTGTATGTAGCTGGGTGTGTGTGTGTATGTGTGTGTAGCTGTGTGTGTGTGTAAGTATGATTTGTGTTACGTGTATGTGGTAGTGTGTATGGTAAGCTTGTGTTGTGTATGTCGCTGGGTGTGTGTGTAGTATGTGTGTGTAGCTGTGTGTGTGTGTAGTTGTTTGTGTATGTTATGTGTGTGTGGTAATGTGTAGCTGTGTGTGTAGCTGTAGTGTGTGTGGTAGTATGTGTGTGTATGTAAGCCGATGTGTTCTTTAGTTTGTTAATCGATTTTCAGCGCAAAAACTCCAATCCTTGTATATATTGTTGTTATTTTATTCTGTAATAAAACTGCTGTTTTTGTTGGTGTATTATTTTGGGACTTTTATTTTGTTTAATTGTACCTTTTGGCGGTGATGACCGGTGTTGGTGATGTCACTTCCTACACGACCCGAGAATAATTCCCGCGTCCAACTGGCAAAGCAGAAGATGTCTGTCATCCATTTCCATACAAAAAGCCGAACACGAACGCAGAGGTCAAATTAAAGAAGAGTCAGGCCAGGACGCGGCTACGTGTGTGTAGCTGTGTGTGTGTAGTATGTGTGTGTAATGTAGTGTGTGTGTGTATATAGCTGTGTGTATGTAGTATGTGTGTGTAATGGTACGTATGTGTGTGGTATGTGGCTGTGTGTATGTAGTATTGATGTGTTATGTAGCGTGGTGTATGTAGCCTGTGTGTACTGTAGTATGTGTGTGTAGTGTAGCTGGGTGTGTATGTAGTATGTGTGTGTATGTAGCTGTGTGTGTGTAGTATGTGTGTGTAATGTGCTGTGTGTGTGTAGTATGTGTGTGTATGTAGTATGTGTGGTGTATGTAGCTGTGTGTAAACTGTAGTATGTGTCGGTTATGTACTGTGTGTGTGTAGTATGTGTGTGTATGTAGGCTGTGTGTGTATGTAAGTAATGTGTGTGTGTATGTAGTGTGTGTGTATGTAGTATGTGTGTGTATGTAGCTGTGTGTGTATGTAGTATGTGTGTGTTGTTAGCTGTGTGTTGTAATGTAGGGTATGTGTGTGGTAATGTAGCGTATGGGTGTGTGTATGTAGTATAGCAGATGTGTGTAAATGTAAAAGAGCCTGTGTGTGTAGAACAACTGTAGTGTGTGTATGTATGTAGGTATATGTATGTATGTAGCTGTGTGTGTATGTAGGTGTGTGCTATGGTGCGATACGGGGTTGTGTGTGTGTGTGTAATGTGGTTTAGTTCCATGAGCCAGGGTCAGGCATCCGAAGCTGCCTCTAGAAAGAGCCAGAAAGAGCTGACTTAGTATTTATATGAGAGGAAGGTCTGTGTGTGTGTGTGTGTGTGTTTAATGTTTGTGTGTTTGTGTGTAGTGTGTGTTTGTGGTGGGTGTGTGTGTAATAAGTGTGGTATATAGTGTGTATGTAACATAAGTGTGTAGGTTTGTGTAGTATATGTGTGTAGTCGTGTGTAGGAGTGTGGTCTGTAGTAGGGTGTTTGTGTTTTAAGTCGGTGTGTAGTGTGTAGGAGTGTGTAGGTGTGTTGTGTGTGGTGTCTGTGTAAAGGTGTGTGTGTCAGTTGTACTTTGTAGGTGTGTGTAAGATGTCTGTGGTGTACGTCGGTGTGTAGGAGTGTGTGTTAGAATGTCTGTGTAGGTGTGTGTGTTTTATCTGAGCCAGGGGTGAAGCTGGAGCTGCTCCAGCGTCGGTCGCTGTTCGGGGACTTTGGACAAACAAATCCGTAAGAAATCCTGACAGTCTGGAGGGAAAACAAAGGTGAAGGGTCGATCGATCGGACCGCAAACAACAATCAATACATTTATTTTAAAAGTTCCTCTGACCTTCGGACAGCCTGCTGTTGATCTTCATCTTATTTCTGATGAACATTTTGGTATCGAACGATGATTTCCTGTGAACGGATTCGAACAGGACGACTCCCAGCTGCCACACGGTGGTGGGTCCGGCCCTGTAGGTGCAGCGGCTGTACCACTCCGGAGGGATGTGAGCGGGCGTACCTAGAAACACACGATGAGAGGCGAGGATGAGGAGAAGTTTTAAACGTTAACGGCACAAAGAGAGAGAGAGGAGGGTTAGTGACGATATCTTACCGTAGAAGACGCGGTAAAAGGAGGATTGCTTCTTCACGAAGCAGCTCAGACCGAAGTCGATGAGGCGAACGCGCGGGACGTCGGAGCCCGTCTCGATGAGGATGTTCTCCACCTTTATGTCCCGGTGAAAGATACAGTTATCCTCTGGAGGCTGGTTTGCGCCCGCATTTCACCAACTGTTTGAGTGTATGCATCTGCAGAGGAGATAGAGAGAGAGAGAAAGAGGAAGAGAAAGGGAGAGAGGGTTGAGGGAGAGGAAGAAGGAGGTTTGATATCCTTTCATGGCTCTGAAGGCTCTGAAACACTAATTTCAGAGATTTCTAGCAGATTTTTTCTTCCAAATACGTTTTGTTGACCTCTGGGGTTTGTTTACAACCTGTTTTATTGTACTTTGGTTATTATAATCCACAGATTTAAATGTCAAACACTGGGAAAATATGACTTAAATTGGAGCTTCCCATAACTTAAAGTTTAAAGATTGAGAGAATTATTAATTGGGGTGTAGCCCACTAGGGATCACCAAAGTTACGTTTATTTGTGAATAAAGCTAAATGAAATAGATTTTTCTTTAAGTTTAGATAATTTAGGTAATATGTATGAGAATAGAGAATTGTATAAAAAGTTCCTAAAATTATCAGGAAAACTAATCTCTGGTCAATATTCACAGGAAATAAGATTAACTTAAGTTATGAAATCAACAATCAATAAGTTGTTAGAAGAAAGATGGCAGTGTCACACTTAATGTGATCCCTCAGCTCACCTTGGCCTCCTCCTCCGGCAGGGAGCCTCCATTGTCGTCAATGTAGTTCTGCATGTCTTCGGAGGGGACCGGTCTCTCCAGCACCAGGATCAGCTCCTGGCCCAGGTCGTACCAGTCCAGCAGAGACACAGGAGCCGTCGATCCCTCCGGGCCCGTTGTGTCTGCCTCCAGTTTCAACATCACGGCGACCTCCACCGAGAGCTGCTTCCCATCGTCGTCCTGAAACACCAACAGCAGAGCGGAAAGGTGAGGAAGAGGAGCTCAACAGATTCATCAATAATGAATCAATAACACATTCAATCAGCAATCAATACAAAAAAAGCAGTCGGTTGTTGTATACTCACCACTAGTTTGCAGAAGACTTTGTCTTTGGGTATGTGTTTGATAGCAACCTGTAAGACACAAACAGAGTTAGTGTTTCCTATTTTTTAGATGAAAAACAAATAAGATCTTACAGCTAATATTGAGCTCGATTGAACCAGTTACAACAATGGTTGCATAATATATAGCATTGTACAAGATTATCGTCCTTATTTTAAGAGTAAAACCACTCACACAACCTTTCAGTTTAAGTTGTTGGAAATGAAGCAGCTGTTTAATTTTTATATTGTTTTAATAAAAAATGCTAAAAAATAAGAATGTTTCTGGGTGTTTTTGTGCTAATTATTAATCTTTTAATTAAATTAAGGTACAAATTCAACTCTATAAAGTGACCAAAATACTTATTTTAACAGTAATAAGTAACTAATAACTAATTATAACTAATCTTAAATTAGTTTTAATTGCTACAAATAAGAACTTGCTTAAAGTGTTTTGTATTTTTTGTACTTTTAAGGCCCATTAAAGTGTTTCAGTGGTTAGATTTCTGTTGTAAATTAGCATATTTATTTGCTCAATACAAGATTTCTTTGTTATAATAAAGAGGTTTTGTTTCTAGAAGGGCTGTAATTGCAATGTGTGAGTGTGTGTGTGTGTGTGTGAGTGTAACACTTACAGGTAATTTATCTGCTATGCGATATCCAGCGTACACGGATCCGCAGCCTCCTTCACCGAGCTGTTTCTGCTGCTTGTATTTGGCCTGAAATTGAGCTAAACAGACACAAACACAGACATTATTTTAACTTCAGCTGTGAATCAATTACATGTTATTAAATATTAATATCTCACATGTTACATTTAATATAAACCCTCATTAACAGAAGGCCTGCTTTAATCACCACCTACTGACCTTCTGGGGAATTTCTTTTCAAGTCCCATTTGGTAGTTTTATTCTCGTTCAGGTCCGGGATCCTTTTCCTCTTCCAGATTGGTTGTTCTACGTCAGCGGCGGCCTTACTCTTACTGCTCAGCTTCCTCACGCCCCCCAGCACTGTACTGCAGCCTTCTAACGGGTCACTGCTCTCTATGGACGAGGAAAACCAACATTAACATCAGTTAGTTGTAGTCGCATCTCAGCGTGAGTTTGACTTGAGATATGGTTAGCCTAGCTTGGCATAAAGACTCATGCTATAAGCTTAAAAACTAATCTTTAAACTGATAAATATTTTAAGGACATTTCATATTATATTCAATGCAGATTATTTTCTGTGATTATAGCATCAGAGATGAGTTTTACTGATATTTTTAGGTACTTTTAATACTTCATAGGCTTCTTTTTTAGACAAATTCAATGTTTTCTTGACACTTTTTTCATTATTTTATCAGCTGTTTGGTTGTTTGAACTGCATACTGTTCTCAGCAAATACGGGAAATACTATCAAAACTATCGTCCTGTCGTCCTTCTTAGACTCTACAAATAACAAAACATAAAGAAACATTAGTTAGTTGTGTATCGTAGTCAGTCACTGGATGAAACTGTCTCATACCTTATCAGGGAGAGAAAAAGCAGATTTTGACCTCGAGGGACGACTATTATTATGTGTTAGGCTTTTATTTGCCTCAGTTCTACCTTTAATAACTGGTCTTTAATTCCTTTTACACAGAACTCTTCCTCAGCAAAGACGGAAAATCTAATTGTTCATTTAAATCATTACAAATATAACTTGTTGAATACCACATCGATTCATTTGATCATCTGACACTTTGGTGCCTGATAGTTTCTGTAAAATGAACGATTGAATTGTGAAACTGATCTAACGATGTGCAACATGTATTGGTGAAAGTTTAAACATTTAAATTTGTGTTGGTGATACGTTGAGTTTTAAGAGGTTTTACACATCCAAAGAACTTCTATAAAATCCAGATCCACCATCTATTGAAGACCAGCGTCTATTAGGGACCCTGCCTTTAAAGGATCTTATTTTCCATGCCCACTCTAATCTAATTTCCTGCCAGTCAGAACATCATTCATCATAAAAACTGTCATGGTCTGCGTCTGCCATGAAGCTGCTTGGCTCCTGACTACAAGAAAGCTGCAAGCCTGCAAAAGTTTGTGACTTAAGTCATTTAAGTTAAAGTTAACATGAAGTTAAATGAGGTTTAACTAAACACAAACAGTGCTTATAATGGGAACCTATAAATAAAAGTAGGGTTTCTCAGGATAATCCACTAACAGTAAACAGTTTCTATTGGAGCTATTTTCTATTTTACTTAAAGAAGTGTGTTTAGTGGATTATCGATTCAAGAGATGTTTCTTTTAATCTTTGGAGAAAGAAGTTAATTTGTCAATGCTGTAAGGACTGAAAATGAAATTCAATTAACCTCCATTGCACTAGTGTGAACACAGAAACTGAACAGACAGGTATCGCAAAACTAGCAAAAGAAATCCTATTTTTTGGTGAACTGAAGTCCATTTAGATCAATATACCAAAACCCCAAAACCCATAAACATGTCTGTGCTTTCTGTAATAATGAATCTGAAGCTTGAGTTCTGCAAACTGACGATAAACGAGATGCATTTCACACAATGATCTGACCTTTGTTGCCAGTGTCTGTTGAGGTGGACGCTGTTTCATTGTCGTCCTGGGTACACGGACCCTCTCCGTCCTCTCTGACTTTACATTCCTCCTTAAAGGTGTTTTGGGGATCAGATCCAACCACCCTCGCCCTCTTCCTGGACACCTTCTTCTCAGGACTGGCCTTCCTTTTAGTTCTCAGGGTCCTGACATCCTTCTCAGACTCTGCACTTGTGTTGCCGTTAGTGCTCTCTACAAATAAGAAAACATTAAGAAACATCAGTTAGTTGTGTATAGTAGTCAATCATAGGATGAAACTGTCTCATAGACGCCTTAAAGTCTCTACCTACTAACTCCACCTGATAACTCGATGGACGATTATTATTATGTGTTTTGCTTTTATTGCTTCAGTTCTGCCTTTAATAACAGATCTCTACTTCCTTTAGCACAAAACTCTTCCTCAGCAAACACGAAAATTCAATTTATTCATTTAAAACAATACAAATATTACATTCAATACCATATCGATTCATTTGATCATCTGATACTTTGGTGCCTGATCTAACGATATGTAACATAGTAAAAGTTTAAACATTTATTCATACTGTAGTCAATCACAGGATGAAACTGTCTCACAGATGCCCTTAAAGTCTCTACCTGATAACCGGATTGGGACAACCGGATCTCAAACTTACCCAGAGAACAGCGAGTCTTGATCTTCTGGGGAGATTCTTTCTCCATGATGAAGATAAAATGATAAACGAGTGTATGCAGATGCAACGCTTGTATCTTTGTGAGTGTTACCCACAGTGAGTTCTGAAGGTCTAAAGCACGGAACACAGAACCTTCCAAAGTGAGCTGTCATCATCAGATTAAAGCAAAGTGTTCTGGAATATGCAAATTAGGCTTTAGAATGTGTGTGTGCGTGTGTGTGAGAGAGAGATATTGCGTAATATAATCCATTTTATTACCAATATTCATAATGTTATTGTTTTTTTGTGTCTGCTCTTGAACTACGAGCGTCTGTGTTGTTTGTTTTTTAAATAGTATGTCCAGAATAAAGCTGCCATTAATATTAATACTTTATTTGTTATTATTATTGGTGCATGCTAATAAATGATCAATTATAGTGTGATTAATTATCAGTTACTATTTATTCATTATTCATTACTCTTCTGTCATATATTGTAGCATACATTTATATATATCTATATTGTATTATAATGTACATACTTGACCACGGCCAATCTTCCCCTCAAGAAATAAGCACGATTTCTGACTCTTAACTCGTTTGTGTCTTTAAAAGTGTTTCAGTACTTTTGTAGCTTCTCACTGAAGCTCTGTGGTTTGAAGTTTAGTGTCTCTCCGTCTTGTACCTTTATATATTTGCTTTATTTTACTGCTTTCAGCTGTTATAGGATTTGTGTTACAGTTTTTTCAAGTTGCTAACACACTAAAATGACATGCATAGCACAAATTATTTAAACGACACACAGAGAGCATAAAACCTCCTTCAAGTCGCCCAAAGACTCTAAACACATTTTCTGCTTTACACACATTTGCAATTCAAAATGGCACTTTTAAACTGCACGAAACACGCGTTCTCTTGCATAAGACACAACAATCTGACATAAAGTCACATGTTTTCCATTTCAAAAACACTGCCATCAAAATGAACACTTACTATGAGCTAATTGCCCAAATATGGCCAACCTGCCAAAACACCTCAGATGGTTCATTTACCAGCTTCAATCAGGATAGTAAGCACTAATAAAAAGGAACCATAGTCTTTTTCTTTTCTAACATTTTTCTGCAATTTTCTTTTTAGTTTGCTGTTTGTTTGAGCATATTGTTTCAGCTCCCAATTAAATATATTTCAACAGCCGTTTCAACAGCGGTGTGGTGTGCTGTGTGTGTGTGTGTATCTGCAAATATTCTGTGCATGTGAACAATCTAAGAACTGTCTACAATTTGAACTATTTTAGTATTATGGCAGAAGCATACTAAAAGATGAGAATGCTTTTCATTACGCCTAACACTGTGTGTGCGGTTAGACAAAAATCTCGGTAATATGAATGAAGTCGTTGGTGCAAAAAACGTTGATTTTGATGAACCGATATGTAGTTCTGGTTCCAGGCCTCATTTTGCAGGATATATGATGTATTTTTGCGGTGTTGGTGGTGTGTTTGTGAATTGTGTTAAGTATTTTGATAAAACCAGCCTAGTTTGCAAAATTGTGTTTTAGCAATTGGAAAAAACTGTAAGTTACTGCTGATGAAAACCCAACATTTGCTAATTTTGCTGCTTCACAATGAAAGCTTTAAATAAATATATATATCAGGAGACTTTTATTGTGAAGAATTTATAGGAAACTATATGAGTATCAACTAATTATTACCTATTCTTCAATAATAAACAAGTTTTCATACTGCACTATACTATTTGTGCTTTAGAACGTAACCGTCATGAAACAATTTAGAAAATAACATGCTTTGTTGTCGTCAACGCTGCTCCCTCTCTTCATTCTAACTTGTGCTCTCTCAACCAGCCCCTGAACTGCCAAGTCAAACCGAGTCGAGCCAAGTCAGCATGTGTGTGTGCGTATTGATCAGTATTGGTCAGGGTACAACTTTGACCCATACTTATAGTTAATACAACAACTATTAGATAGATTAGAGAATTTGTACAGACATTCGTGGTCCCCAGAGGATGAATCTTACTGGTTATGGTGACCCCGACTGTTCCTCTATTTCCACCAGCAGGTTTCAGATCTTCAGCATTATATATTCATAATAAAGCTGTTGAAGGAAATCACTTCTGACCTTTTACTTTTTTACTTTTAGAACAACCAACCAGCACTTTTTTAGTGAGAAAGCTTAATTATTGAACCGGTTTGACTCTTATTCCCAGTCTTCTCCCACTGAAAGAGTGCAGCTATAACGAAGACTGAGCTGGTTGAGGAGACGAAATTTACAGTTCGTACAGAATACACTTTATCTTTATTGACTGTGTTAACATTTAGAAAAAACGATAGTGACTGAGGAACATTTAGACAACGTTTACAGCAGGATGCATGAGAGTTATGGTACAGGGCTGGAAACTAACTCAAAATGCCAGATAATCAGTTAATCAGCCGACGATTAATTGGGATTATCTATATTTATGAAGATGTGACGTTATTATAATAATAATTATTCAAACATAAAGATAACTAACTGTACAAAACAGACACCCAGACACACACACACTTTTGTCCTGCTTCTACATTGGCTTTTTCGAGAACAACATGTACTCAGTCCCAGCAGAGCCTGAATGAGCGACTGTGTTCTCCGTCCTGCCCAGTGTCACAAATCATGCTGATCGTCAGGGACGAAAACAAAGCTTGAGTCCCAAGATGAAGGCAGAGAAGGAGGCTCCTTCAAAAGCCAAAATAATTTCCCAGATTTTATTGCTCATGTGTCTTGGTTCCTTCAATTCAGGTAGGTCACATTTTCTAAGTAAGAATTTGAAAATTGCAGATATAAACAAATTTTTTAGCACTGTTTTGCCAAGAAATGGTCTGTTTCACTTTCATGTTCATGGACTCTGCCTGAAAGATTTTGTAAAGTAACTAAAAGATGATTAATGAAGTCTGATTTGTATTTTGTGGGTCAGTTTGTTTCAGTATGAGTGAGTAACTGCATATATGATTTAGTAATAATTCTTTACTCCTTACTAATTACTCGGTGAAACAATCAGAGGATCCTCCCACTAGATTTTGGCAATAAAAACTTCAAATTCTTAGTAGATTTTAAAATAACTGAGACGGCTGTGCTTTCACAATACTAGCTGAGGGATTGGAGGAAAATACCAACAGCAGTGGCTAAGATATGTTGAGTGTTTGCAACCATCCAGAGTGATTTTAAAGTTGAAAACTTAACATAAATATAAATCTACAGAGTTTAACACAGTATGATATGAAGCTTATGGTTCAATATTATACATAATATTGTTGCAATAACGAATCAATCCTACTCATCCTACGCACCAGTCTCATGAAATACTTTGCTCTGTTCGATGCATAATATTATAACATGTTACAACAGATTATGGCACCAGCAAAAGAGTTAATCTGACAACACTCTGAGAACATTACAGACATCACAAAGGTTGCATTTGTTGTTGGGGTATTGGATTGCATCAGACTGTGTGGGTGCTTTTACAGTCCTGTGCCCACCCTTTGTAAGTAATACAGTAATTGTGCCTACAGGCTGTACCAGAACCAGTGTTTTCAGATGTTTAGTTATTTTCAGCTGTGTCTCATCACTGTCCTGCTATTGTTGTGGCTAGCAGCAGAGTCACTGAGCTGCTCTGTTTCTGCAGAGCTAGCATGGCATCTGGATTGATCCCCAGTGCTCTTTTCATGAACTGCCAACAAGGAAATTTGAACAAACAATCCCCACTTTTGTTGGCTCATGCTGGCCCATCCCAAGGACTGACAGCTGTTACCATGGTAATGTGGATGGGCCATGCAAACTGGCTCCAGTATACAGCAGTGATGGGGCGTGATGCCCACACTAGCCTTCAGCTAACTACTTTATCACTCACTATAGATACTATATATAACTATGTGCACTGTGACTAATAATACCTGTATGCAAAAAAATCTTAATTATTCCTAAAGCTATTGCAAAAGACAGCCCAGTATCCCTACATTGCATTCATATTGGATGTTTTCACAGTGCACAATGCATTATGTCTAATGCCAACAGACAGTGCCAATGCAGGAAGTGGTGTGTCCTTTATGGAGAATGTAAGAGTGTGAAGCTTCCTGAACCCACTGAGGGTTGAAAGTTAATGTTTGTTATTTGCATTGTGCAGATATTAAAGAAATAAATAATCTTTACTTTTCTGAACATGGAAACGGGCTAGTTTCCAGAATTGTCCAATATTAGCATTGTGTCCAAGGTTGGAGTAGTATTATGTGTCAGCTTTGTTACATAATTGAACATGCCTCAAACATAGTTCCTGCAGATTTATGAATATGATAGTTAAAGGGATAGTTCAGGTTTTTAAGACGCACTGAGAAACAGCCCTTCTAGAAACAAGCCAAATATTCTTAAATATATTCAAATTTTCTTGTATTGAGCAAAAACATTTTGCAAATGGGGTAATTCAATTTTGCTTGGCTACAATTCTTGCATTATACATTATACATCTAGCATTATGCATTATACATCTAGCATTATACTCTAACCACTAAAAGACTGTAATGAACCTTTCATTTTATATTAAAACAATGAAACAGCTGCTTCATTTCCAACTCTGGGACGAGACCACTTTCTCTTAAACTGAGAAGTTGTGGTCTTACTCTTAAAATAAGGAAAATAATCTTGTTCCTCGGCCGGGATATTATGGAAACCATAGTTGTAACTCTTTAAATGTAGCTCAATATTAGCTGTAATATCTTATTGAGACAAAGTTAGATATATTACCTTAAAGCCAGAATACTTTTCTAATGCAAAACATGCTTGACAAGATTATTTGGCTTTTTTAGACAAAAAAAAGAGACTCTTTTCCCAGAAACAAGACTTTTTTTACTTTCTTGAGATTCCATTTTTGGAGTAAAGCAATATCTGTATTAGGAAAAATATGTGTTTTTTTGAACATTTAAGAATGTAAACTTATTCCAACAAACCTCCCATATAAAAGTATGAACCCAAAAAAGAGCATAACACCGTCCCTTTAACATATTATTTCTC